CGTGGGCAACAAGGGCAGAAGGGGGCAGCATTCACAATGGTGAAGAGTGGCCAGGGCCACATTCTTTCATGGCTCCCTGCCCCCTGACACTACATACCTCCTCTCTCAGTGGCTTGGTACCCACCAGCCATGGCCTCCTCCTGTCTGGTGATGGCCATGGTGGCAGCATTGGAGGGTGGGACCAGCATCTTCCCACAGTGGGTCGGCCTGCCTCCACATTCCCCTGTGGTTGCTGTGACATTTGGTGGTGGGGAAGGCCACCACCAGCCCAACTGGACCAAGGTTGAGAAGGCTCTGCTATACAAGTTGATGGTAGAGCATGTGAGCGTTGCCCTTGCCACCACCAGGAGCAGCTCTGCCACCTCCTGGCACCAGGCCCTCTGGTGCATGGCGGCAGAACAAATGTCTGCCCTAGGACATGCTGTCCAGGCAGAGATATCCACTCTGAAGCTCTTTAGTCCTGCTTGGAAGTGCATCCGAGTCCTCATAGCCAAAAGTGTCCCTTATGAAGTAGGCAGTGGAGGACGGTCTGCCCAGAGCAGAGGCTGTCATGCAGGCATTGACACCCCCTGTGGTGGTGGTGGTTGGCTGTGGCACTGAGGTGCTGTGTGGTGAGTGATATCAACTAGGAACTGTGTGGTGAGTGATATCAACTAGGCCACAGCTGTGGGACCCGGGACCTGTCACCCACTGCCCCTACGATGCCCTCACTGATTTCCATGCACCCCACGGGCAAGTTGTAGAGTGGGGATGGTCATGGGTCTGTCCTCCTAGATCACTGAGGTGGGCCATGGATGCAGCAGCAGCCAGAGCAGCCAGGGACTGACCCCCATCCTCATGGAGGAGGGGGACTGCACCATCGTCATGCTCCCATCTCCACAGCCGCAGTGTTCCTAGCACACCCCCGGGGCCTTGTGCCAAGGGCCCCAGGCCCATGTGTCTAGCCAGGAGGAGATGGAACTGAGCAGCAGGGAGGAGGATGAAAGTGGCCAGGCTCCCGGGCCGGTGGTTGAGGGAGGGGAGGCACCTCGGGGGGGGGGGGCAAGGTGCAATGGCACTGGCACCCATCTGGGAGCTCCTGTGCACTATTTGCTGTGTTCTCCTCCTGTGCCCAGGTCCCTATTACCTGACATTTGGTGCTGATATGTACCTATGCACCTATGCAGCCTGACCCCAAGGGAGCGCATGGCAATGGCAGGCTCCATGGTCCTTTGGTTGCTGGGAATCATGGAGTCCCTGGGCCTGGCCACTAGAGGGGAGGTGACTCAGAGGGCAGACTCGACGTCTTCAGATGGCAGCAGCCCTGCCCTGCCTGAAAAAGGGGGACAGGGGGCAGTGGCAAGGAAGGTCCCCTGGACCAGGTGTCATGGCTTCTGGTGGCCCAAAGGAAGGGGGGAAATCTGGCCCATTGCTGGGTCCCTGAGCACAGGGCCCACATCTGGGAAAGGCCATCCCACCCACCCGTTCTTCCATCTGGGTGGTGATTGAGCATGAGTGGCTGGAGAGCTGTTGTGAGTGGCAGGAAGCCTTTTCCAGAGGGCAGCAATGGATGGAGGGGCTGGCAGTGTCTGTGACGGTGGTGGCTGAACACCTGGAGGGGCTTCTTGCCATTGCAAGGGACATGAGTGAGGGGCAGGGGAACATCAAGTGCCACCTGGGGGACCTGCTGGAGGCTCTCCAGGCCCCTTTGGCGCCCCCCACCCCCTCCCGCTCAGTGTCCAGCAGGGGTTGCCCAGGTGCTGGCACAGGGATGCCCTTGACAGCATGAGCAGCTTGCTAGATGGCACAGCAGCCATTAAGTGGAGGGCACCCACACATCCACATTCTTGTGTGCCGTGGCCCTTGGGGGCCCTGTGCACTTTGTGTATGCAGAGCAACCCATGGGGTCCCCTTTGGCCAGGCAGTTGACAGCCCCCTCCCCACTGACAGGTGGTGGACTTGGCCCCCTCAACTCATGGCTCCTATTGGTCCTGCCTGCCCTGTCTATCAACAATGCTGGGACAGAACACTGTGGCAGAAACATCATGGACACCACCAGGGCTATTTTTGGGCAGGAACACACAGGAACGGAGTTCCGGCTGGCTCCCGAGTTGGCCACACCCAGCAGGAACTCATTAGCATAATAGGCCACACCCAACAGCAGAAACTCATTAGGAGTGGCTACATTAGGGGTGTGTGGCCTAACATGCAAAGGAGTTCCTGCTACAAAAAAAGCCCTGGGTTTTGACAACAAACAAGGTAAACAGAATAAGAAGCAAAAGGTGGGTGTGGCTGGATGGCCACACTTCTGGCAACATGGGGGTGCGGCTTAACATGCTAACGAGCTGTGCTGTCAGGGTTGTGGGCTAATATGCTAATGAGTTTCTGCTGTTGGGTGTGGCCTATTATGCTAATGAGTTCCTGCTGGGCTTTTTCTACAAAAAGAGCCCAGGACACCACCACGGCAGTGCCTGCCAACACTGATGGAGCACCTCCCCCCCCCCCAATTCAGTCACTGTGTAACTTTTTCCTTAAGGAGGTGACTAGTAGTGGTGCCATTGTTGCTCTGCGGCAGCCACGGTGCAGGCACAACAGAAGACTGCTCTGCTGTCATGCAGTGAAGATTCTTGTCCTATAATGGCAGATGCTGCCAAATAAACCTTTAAAAATCAGATCTCCAGTGGCCAAGGTATGAGCTTTCCTGTGCATATACACTTCCTCAGATCAACATGCCTGCCCACCTGGATCTCTGCTCACAATAAGTTAAATGTACCTACATCATTGTATCTTTGGAAGTAAGAATGTCTTTCTCTTGTTACCATTGGAGTCAGATCATCTTTGTAAATTGTTCGAACAGTATTTTTCCCTTTAACAGGGATGGGGGATACTGAGTAAAGCTTCTGTGCTTCCAAGGCAAATTATGAATTATATACATATTTACATTTAACTCAACAACAGGGTTCAGGCAAATGGAGTGATAAGGCTGGGAACAGGCTGGGGAAGGGTAGCCACGCTGACTTTTTGCAGCACAGGCCAACATAACCTGTGACCAAAGCTCCCTCTAAGCTGTGGATTCATGTGAGCAAAAATTCTACTTTGTGAGCTAGTGGCATTAAAGTTGTGAGCGAGCAATTTGGCTACTGCATAAATTAGTTTGCTCTGGAGCGATCCTTCCTGAGCTAAGACGAAAATGTGTGAGCCAGAGGCTAAAAAACTGTGAGCTAGCTCACACTAACTCAGCTTAGAGGGAACACTGCCTGTGACTCAACAGGATGAATGCAGCTTATTTGTAACTCTGTGGTTGGTCCCTGCCAATCAATCTCCCAGTTTTGCTCCATCTGTCAGGCCACAAAACATATATGACTTAACATCACATAAAGCTCCAAATTGTTTAAATTTATAAATTGTTCATTATTAAACATGCTTCTTATTATTAAACATACTGTTGGTTATTTAATACATGCATAAAATACAATTGATACATAGGAATTTATGAAGTTATACAATTTGGAGCTTTATGTGATGTTAAGTCATATATGATGCATACTAATTCATCTATTTCCTTAAATTGCTGTATGTAGGCCACAAAACATAGCAGACGGGCTGTGGGTCATAAGTCATGCCTCAAACCTATCCACAAACAAGTCTGAGCATTGAAAATGCATGGTTTTGAAAATTATATAATACAATGTAAATTGTATGTCTTATGTGAAATACAGACACAACATTTATTGAGATTTTGTCCTGAAATTATTTTGTCTTGCTATAGAACTTTGTGGGAAATGTGAGAAATACACCCCCCCCCAAAAAAAACTTTATTGATGTAGAAACCATGATGGAGTAGATTGGAGTCATAGTGGAGTCCAGGCTTCCCTTTACTCAGCACTGAACTCCCTTTTGCAAATAATTGTAAAGTCAGTTGAATGAACAATACTGATGAATCACTGAATGCAATACCTCCATGTTGCCCTGTAAAACAATTGGCTAATATATATTATATATGTGATAGAATTGAACTTTGGGAAAGCCTTGTTGTTATTTGAATCTGAGAGATCACTTGAGTGCAAAATTTCACACTCAGAAAGCCGGAGTTAAGCTAAATTATATGCAATCTATCCAGCAATGGTGTTCCTAAATCTCGCATTTCACTTTGCAGCAGGTTAGGGCTGGCTCCTCTCAAGCCATGGCAGTGGGGTTAAGAGGTCATCAGGGATTATCAGAAAATGGCGGGTGCCACAAGTTGAAAGGACCTGAAGCATCAAGAAAGCGCAGTTCATATCCTTTCTTTCAAAACCACAGAACGGTTCATTCACAAAAAAAAAATAATCAAAACAAAAATGGCAGCCTAGCTATTTACAAGAGTGTAGTTTTTCCAAAATAAAATGATCATAACGGGAGTGTGCTTTTGAATGAAATCAGTAAAAAAGACTCTAAATTAAACCTCAAGAAATAACAATCCTAATGTACGCTTCCTCTGAGCAATAAGGATCCGGAAGTTCTGAGTAGTATTTCAGACAACGGCTATATGCATTATATATATATATATTATATATATATATTATAAATATATATACACGAATATATATATATATATATTCGTATGAGGTGACAAGTTCAGTTTTCAGGATGACCAGCTTTTTCATCGGAAATGATTCACAGCTGTTCCTTCTTGTTTTTCCAGCTGAGCATGTTGGTTACAGCGAAGCTCGTCAATGAACTTCGCTTTTACAAACGACACTTTTTTTAAGAACAGGAGGAAAAATAACGCAAGGGGGGGGGCAAAACAGCCAATCAACAAAGGGGATAGAATTTCCAGTTCATGCAAGCTCATAGTTTTACCCCTCCCTTACGAGAAGAAATAGACCAATAGTGAGCCTTTTCCTCAGCCAAAACATAGCCTCTAACCAATCGGAAAGGAGCCCGATGGCTTATTTCGCCCAATGAAGTATGCGCTACTATCGGAAAGAAGGGGAGGTTGGCAGAAGAAAGAGAAACATCCAGCGCCTGGAAGATTCGAATCGAACGTTTATAGTCGCAGAGAACATTTGAGCGACCAATCGGCGGGCTCCAGAAGCGTAGACTTGAGCGTTGAGACACCTCTGGCTTCCCTCCCTGCCCACTCGGTCTCCCCACATGCTCCTCCCCTGGATGCTGTTGTTTGTGGCGTGTTAGGCTGCCGAGGAACTACGCGAGGTGGTGGTGGGGATATCAACATCTCCTTGGTTCGTGCGGATTCCAAAGCGAGAAGGCCGAGGCGGTCGACTTGGCTTGAGCCTGTCGGGGGTGCTAGCCGGAAGCGTCTGATACCGAAAAAGGCAATCGGTGTTTCGGGGTGGAAGAGGAGAAGGATTCCTTTGTGGATTTTCCCCTCCCCCAAACATACACGCACACCGCCTCCGCCACAGTGAGTGCGTCTGGCTCTCCTCCTCCTTTCCTTGTTGTGGTTTCGTTTCTCTCGCCATGTCGGTGAATATGGAGGAGCTCCGGCATCAGGTCATGATCAACCAGTTCGTGCTGGCTGCGGGCTGTGCGGCGGATCAAGCAAAACAGCTGCTGCAGGCGGCCCACTGGCAATTCGAGGTGCGTTGCGGCCGGCGGGGCGACCCCCCCTCCCGTGCCGGGAGAAGTGAAAGGGGGAAATATTTACTCCCCCCCCCCCCATTTCCTGGTTCTGCGTTAGCTTTGAAAGTAGTTGTGGGAGCGGACACTCAGTAGGGGCCCCCTGTTTATTCATCGCCATAAGCGGCATTTTCTATCCCCCCCCCCCCCAACACCCCACGGCTGTGTAACACGCGGGAGGGCGCACCTCTGTATATTGCTGTTACTAGGCGTATAAACAATCCATCAAAGGAATTCGAGTAACTATTGTCTCCTCCTGCCTTCCGGGGCCGGGAATGCGTTGGGCCTTACGTGTTGACTAAGCTCTTGTTGCTGCTGGTCGTGGGAAAAAGGGGTGGGGAGAGGGGAGACAACGCCGATGTTCCTTAAACTGCCCAGGCGAAAGACAGATATGCGGGGCCACTTTGAAGAAAGCCGATTGGGACGATTATTTTGAATAGTCTGGTGTGTGCGAGAGAAACGTTCCCTGGGTTGAAAGAAAAACTTAGAAATAATTCAGACCAGAGAGACCAACGTTAGGCCGTGCGGTAGTTAGGAAAGAGACGATCTGTTTCTCTCTGCTTGCGATCCCTTCCTCCAGTCTTTTTCTTTTTGGTTGTGTGCGGCACTCGGCCTGTTAAGTGTGTGAAGAAGACTCGCTTTTCTTCCCTGTACTCGACTGGGAATCCATTTGGACCTTAGGCTTTCTAGTAGCTCTCTAACACACGGGGTGTGTGTCCTGCCTACCCAGAGAAACGGCTCCCATGTGCTGTAATCACGGCTGAGTGTGATTAATTTGCGTGGCCAAATCCTCTTCCTCCTCCACAGCCACACCGTTTTAAGTTTGTGTTCCTTTGTTTTGGTTAATAAAGCTGGAGCAGGAAAATACTGGTTTCAGCCAACCCCCTTGGCCTCCAACGAAAGAAGTGTCTTTGTCCATTTTCTTTTTGTGTAATCTACTATAAAAATCTGATTCCGGAACATTGTGTTTTGGGTGCTGGATTTCTCTCCAGTGGAGGTGTATTTGGACTGCATTTCTTTTGGACTGGCCTGGGTAACATTTTTTAAAAAACACCTCTCCCCCTAGTCCCAAAAGAGACAGGAAAGCAACATTTCATATTTGACCAAAGCCAATATTGGGTGGATGGGTGGGGGAACATGGGGGTGGGGGGAGGAAGAGCTAAACAGACCTCCTGTGAAAGTATTTGGGGAAGGGGATGAGCAGGTGATCAGGCCTGCTTCCCCCTTCTCTTTCATTGCAATGTAAAATATTTTTGGTAATCTTGCACTCGAATGTGACTTTCCCCATTGAGCTCTTCCCCCTTGTTCTAATGGTAGGCTTATGTGTGTGTTTTTTTAAACATAGACTGCTTTGAGTGCTTTTTTTCAAGAAACCAACATTCCCAGCACCCACCACCATCATCAAATGGTAAGTAGTTGAAACTTTGCAGACTCATGCTGTTCTTTGCAACATCTTTGCTTCCTGTGGGCTGAAGTGAAATTTTGCATCAGAGTGGATCTTTCTCCTTAACACCTTGGATATTTCTTGCTTCTCTGAACAAATCGCACCTATCTGCAGTGCTCCCTTAGTCTGGAAAGCCCCTCTCAGCAAATAACTTCCAAACACCACATCAGAGACCACTCTGAATACCTTTTGAGTTGTCAAAGGCTGCTGCACTTAAAGTCATGTAAATATAAGGAGGAGGGGGAAATTTCTTGTCCTGCGCGAGCAAGGTCTGATTTTTTAAAAACACAACCTTTGATACTGGGTGGAGAACAGGAGGTTGCATCTAGAAGTGGTTGTGAATTCAGAGCTGCCAGCTCTTCAGACAGCCATATTGCTCTGCAACAAGAGAAACACACAGACTGCAAATGTAAACAAGAACCAAAATGTCTGCCAGGAAACAGGGACTTCTTTTTTTTTCCTCCTCCACCTTCCTCCTCCCTTTCATTGCTTGCATGGCTGTCTAGCTATTTTTATGCTTTTTAATAACTTGCAAACCAGCAGGGTTGGGAAGAAGAACAAATTCAGACAAGCTTTAGGGTTCTTCTCTTCCCCCCCTCCCCCTGTGATCTAAACTTGAGCAAAACTTTACATGACCTTGGCTGAAGGCAAGTTTCTTTGACAGAGCAAAGGGAAGGGGGTTTGTGTGTGTGTGTGTCGGGGGTGAGAGGCTGGGGCGAAACCAGTGCTGTGCACTAGCAAAATAAGAGCAAGGCAGCTAAACTGCAGCTTTTCTTTTTCTGTGCTTTGGTGATTGTTAAAGCCAATGTTTGGTCCTGAAGGAAGAAGAAAAAGGGTCTGGGGATGAACTGTTGCGTGGAATTTTGAAGTATGCCTGTTAAATAGTTGAGAGAGATTTTTACTACCCTGAGGAATTAAAAAACTAGTTTTCCATTTTAATGTAGCTGATTTTTTTAAAAAATAGCTTTGCTAATGCATGAAAGTTTCTGCTTGAGCTTTAACTATGTGTTTGTATTAATAGCTACTTGACAGTGTAATTCTGAGTTTACTCAGACTACCCGCAAGTTAAGCTCTACCTTTTGATACATTTATTTATTAAAAAGGGTGTATGTGTGTGTCCTTTTCAAGGTGGCTTACAAAATAGAGTAAAATGAACAACATAATAGTTTATATGAAAGAAATATCAAGCTGTAACAATAGCTAACCATATATGGTAATAAAACAGCATAAATGCTTAGTTAAGCATATACATGTTGCACGTGTTCAAATTAGTCAAGAATGTATATTGATAGATTTCACAGGAAAACATGTTCTGAAACTTGAGGAGTAGTGCTAAGAAAGCCTTACCTCGTCCTACATTTTTGCTCTGAGGGGTTCCTAAACAGTCTTTGGCTAATCTTAGCTGGAGGACAAGATCACTGTTTCTCTTCCGGGGGTTTTGCCATAAAATTAGGGTAGTCTTTTATACAGTGGTACAGGTTTCTGACCGGTGGCTCAAGTGGTTAAGACGCTGAACTGCAGGCTGTGGAAGGTCGGTAGTTCAGCAGTTCGATACCCGGGTGTGCCGCATGATGGAGTGAGCTCCCGTCTCTAGTTCCAGCTCCTGCCAACCTAGCAGTTCGAAAGCAAGAAATTGCAAGTAGATAAATAGGTACCACTTCGGTGGGAAGGTAACAGCGTTCCGTGCGCCTTGGTGTTGAGTCATGCCGGCCACATGACCACGGAAACGTCTTCGGACAGCGCTGGCTCTTCGGCTTTGAAACGGAGATGAGCACCGCAACCCTAGAGTCGGACTCGACTGGCTTTCGAGCAAGGGAACCTTTACCTTTACCTTTACAGGGTGGAAATATACAAACTGAAAAGTAAAAATTGAAGTGTATCTCACATGGGAAAATAGATGTAACTTCCATAAAAGTGCACATTTCCATTCATATAGGGAGTAAAAGGATATCACATGAAACGGACTTCTGTTGATTAGGGAACCTATTCATAAACTGCTATGTGTCTGTTTATCTGTCTGTATAGTAGGTATAACTTGCTTTAGAAAAATGTTGCAAGAAAGAAAATAATGTTATAAAGCTCTTTGCACAGTCCAGTATTTATATACTTGTGTATACAGGAAATTTTGTGTTTGAAAACGCAGCATCTTTGCTAAAGAAAAAAAGTTCTACCATTTTTGAAGATGTATTTTTTGTGTGTTGTGGCCAAAGAGCTTCAGGTTGAAGATTGTTTTGTTTGATTCCTCTAAAACAGGTTTTACTTTACACTATATTGCAAACTTTTGTTGTTGTTTAAAGTCACTTCTTTGAAGTGAAATATACCAGCCTTCTGCTCTAAGGTGGCTTTCTGTGGAAAACTGGTCTGTTTATTGGATTTGCTTTTCATTCTGTGGTTATAAAATTTTCTTGTCTTTGTAAGTGTATTTTTGTTTTATCATTAGCCTTATATTGGTGAGCTCCCGTCTCTGGTTCCAGCTCCTGCCAACCTAGCAGTTTGAAAGCAAGAAATTGCAAATAGATAGGTACCGCTTTGGTGGGAAGGTAACAGCGTTCCGTGCACCTCGGCGTCTAGTCATGCCGGCCACATGACCACGGAAACATCTTCGGACAGTGCTGGCTCTTCGGCTTGGAAACGGAGATGAGCACCGCAACCCTAGAGTCGGATTCAACTGGCCTTTGAGCAAGGGAAACCTTTACCTTTGTTGTTTTAGATAAGCAAGGCAATTCAAGATGTGAGTGAAGAAAGAAGGTTTGCTTATGATTGCAGAGTTGGGCTCCTGATTCATATTCCACTGCATGTTTGGAACAGTTCCCCTGTGTTCACTGAGAACTAATTTAAGCCTGCTCTTTTAGAAGCTGGATGTAGAAGTAGATCTCCCATGTTTGTCTGAAAACTCACAGTGCCCTTGACTAGTTTCACATGGGACTGGCACGAAATTTTAGCCCATCACTAGGCTGAGGTCAGCCAGCTTTATCAAGGCCTTCTAAACTTTTGCATCTTCTAATAACTCTTAACACCTCAGGAACCGTTTGCCGTTGGATTCTGCATTTGAGATTGCCAAATAGGGTATCTGTTGCAGAATTACTCTCTACTGTTGAGGGCAGTAGCAGCCCCTTGGCCACAGTGCATTTCAGTCCCGAAGCATATCACTCTTCTCCCCTAAGCATCTGTCTCAGTCTTATAACTGTCTCAGTTACTGTTTTGTAAAAAAAAAAAAATCTAGCTCTGCAACAACACACTGATTTCTGCCTGCAGAACTGCACGTGCTGATGTCCTTAATCTAATTGTACAGCTTTGCATTTGGGAGAAGGCGCATACGAGAACCATTGGGAATACTGTTTGAAGCTGCTAGCCTATTCCATCCAGCCATGCTGCTTAATCTGCTGCTAGAACTCCACCACCAAGGGAGAGGTTCATATTTGGAGATGGCGTCAGCAGTGGTGAAGATAATCCTTCTTGCAGTGGTTTACTAGGTGATGTTTTGGTGAACCTGATAGGCCTTCGTTAATAACATCCAAGCCCAGAATATTCATGACCCTTTGATCTTGTGCAATCCTTTCTCCAGCTCAGCTGTGGAGTCAAAAAGAAGCAAAGCAGGATTTCAGGCTTGATTCAAGGTGTTTGAAATGCTTAACACACAGCAGGAGAGTCTAGTTCAGTGCTGCTATGGGAAGCTTAGCCCGATTAATCTGTTTTATATCCAGTCCTTGGTGCCTTGTGCCCTCCTGTACACATTGCCAGCAAATCCGCTTCTGCCCTCTTTTCTCTGATTCTTACATGTTTGTATGATGTGTGTGTGCTTAAGGATATCACCTTGTAGCTGTAGATATCTTAAAACTTGTAGCTGTAGATATCTTAAAACAAAAGTAAATATATCCAGCACTCTGAGGAAAGAGATTCTCCTGTCTGGCATTTTAAAATTCCTTGTTTCTCTCATTAGCGTGCAGGCTGCAAGTTGACTGGGGCTCTCCGGTTATTCATAAAACAGTATCTGACATGCAGATTTAAGCCAAATGTAACTGCATCATAGCTGTTAAGGAGACAGCAGAGCCCATTCTTGCATGCTCTGGAATGTTTCTCCCAACTGCCAAGCATTAAGGGGTTTACAGTTTCTGCATTCGCTAGGGGCAGTTTAATAGAGATTGCAAACAAAGGATATCCTGTCTCCCTTGGAAGGCTATCTTCAGCCACTCCCCCCCCCCTATCTTTTTATAACCAGTTACACATTAATCAGGAAACTGGTGTTTTGAGTCATGATTTGCTGTGTGTGACTGTTCCCTGTTTGCCCACCATTATTCACCCAGAGCTCCCTGATACCTTTTCAGGCTCCTGTGTGTTGCAATTCTGAATTTCAGGCTCTCTCTGTGTGAAACTTTCCCATTTCTGCCTGCTCTTCAGCCTCACTCTTCCTGGTACTTGGAAGTTTCTGCTTAAGCCCACTGGAAAATTTCTAATTTGCTAAGGGAACAGAAGTTGAGGAGGCTGAGTAAAAATTTTCTGGAGTTTTTTTTTCCCCCTTTCATTTACAGTTCTGTTGTAGAGGCCAGATCAGCCATTACCTTCTGCCTCCCCTTACAGTTTACAAAAAGAAGAGGAGGAGATTGGATTTATACACCCCGCCCTTCACTCAGAGTGGCTTACAATCTCCTTTTCCCTTCGCATCCCCACAACAGACACCCTGTGAGGTAGGTGGGGCTGAGAGAACTTTCGAGGACTGCTCTTGAGAGAACTTGTGACTGACCCAAGGTTACACCAGCAGCTGAAAGTGGAGGAGTGGGAAATCAAACCCATTTCTCCTAGATTAGAGTCTGCGCTCTTAACCACTACGCCAAACTGGTCCTGGGAGGGGTCCCAGCCCATGTCCTGCTTGCCCTTGCCCCCTTCCGGATGCCAGTGTTTTCCTTGGAAATGTAGTGGATTCCCTTCCTAGTTGTAACAGGAAGCTAAGCCAAGGAATGGGTTAC